CCCCCCCCATCCCACACACACACTTTAACCTGTATACTTGTGACAGGGTGACAGTCTGAATTGAGTTTCCCCAAATGGTCTTTTATAAAATACAGTTTATCTAAATCGTCCCACGTGCAAATAGATCTAGCAAAGGCTAGTTCATGGTGAAGTGCAATTGTTACCGGAAATGTACTTAATTCGTGTATTAATTTTGTTAATTATACCTATCAAACCCTGATCTCATATTTGTGTAGGGTGAGTAAAGCTGCGTTGTAATACTCTGTAGACATTATTACCCGTGTTTGTTTGTTTGTGTAGGGTGAGTAAAGCTGTGTTGTAATACTGTAGACATTATTACCCGTGTTTGTTTGCTTGTGTAGGGTGAGTAAAGCTGTGTTGTAATACTGTAGACATTATTACCCGTGTTTGTTTGCTTGTGTAGGGTGAGTAAAGCTGTGTTGTAATACTGTGTACACATTTTTACCCGTGTTTGTTTGTGTAGGGTGAGTAAAGCTGTGTTGTGATACTGTGTACACATTATTACCCGTGTTTGTTTGTTTGTGTAGGGTGAGGAAAGCTGTGTTGTAATACTCTGTAGACATTATTACCCATGTTTGTTTGTTTGTGTAGGTTGAGTAAAGCTGTGTTGTAATACTCTGTACACATTATTACCCATGTTTGTTTGTTTGTGTAGGGTGAGTCAAGCTGTGTTGTAATACTCTGTAGACAGTGTTGTGATACTGTGTACACATTATTTCCCGTGTTTGTTTGTGTGTGTAGGGTGAGTAAAGCTGTGTTGTAATACTGTAGACATTATTACCTGTGTTTGTTTGTTTGTGGAGGGTGAGTAAAGCTGTGTTGTAATACTGTAGACATTATTACCCGTGTTTGTTTGTTTGTGTAGGGTGAGTAAAGCTGCGTTGTAATACTGTACCCATTATTACCTGTGTTTGTTTATTTGTGTAGGGTGAGTAAAGCTGTGTTGTAATACTCTGTACACATTATTACCCATGTTTGTTTGTTTGTGTAGGGTGAGTAAAGCTGTGTTGTAATCCTCTGTACACATTATTACCTGTGTTTGTTTGTTTGTATAGGGTGAGTAAAGCTGTGTTGTAATCCTCTGTACACATTATTACCTGTGTTTGTTTGTTTGTGTAGGGTGAGTACAGCTGCGTTGTAATACTGTACCCATTATTGCCTGTGTTTGTTTATTTGTGTAGGGTGAGTAAAGCTGTTTTGTAATACTCTGTAGACATTATTACCCATGTTTGTTTGTTTGTATAGGGTGAGTAAAGCTGTGTTGTAAAACTCTGTACACATTATTACCTGTGTTTGTTTGTTTGTATAGGGTGAGTAAAGCTGTGTTGTAATGCTCTGTACACATTATTACCCATGTTTGTTTGTTTGTATAGGGTGAGTAAAGCTGTGTTGTAATCCTCTGTACACATTATTACCCATGTTTGTTTGTTTGTATAGGGTGAGTAAAGCTGTGTTGTAATCCTCTGTACACATTATTACCTGTGTTTGTTTGTTTGTGGAGGGGGAGTAAAGCTGTGTTGTAATACTCTGTACACCTTATTACCTGTGTTTGTTTGTTTGTGTAGGGTGAGTAATGCTGTGTTGTGATACTCTGTAGACATTATTACCCGTGTTTGTTTGTTTGTGTAGGGCGAGTAAAGCTGTGTTGTAATACTGTACACATTATTACCCATGTTTGTTTGTTTGTGTAGGGTGAGTAAAGCTGCGTTGTAATACTGTTCCCATTATTACCTGTGTTTGTTTATTTGTGTAGGGGGAGTAAAGCTGTGTTGTAATACTCTGTACACCTTATTACCTGTGTTTGTTTGTTTGTGTAGGGTGAGTACAGCTGTGTTGTAATACTCTGTAGACATATTACCCATGTTTGTTTGTTTGTGTAGGGTGAGTACAGCTGCGTTGTAATACTGTACCCATTATTACCTGTGTTTGTTTATTTGTGTAGGGTGAGTAAAGCTGTTTTGTAATACTCTGTAGACATTATTACCCATGTTTGTTTGTTTGTGTAGGGTGAGTACAGCTGTGTTGTAATACTCTGTAGACATATTACCCATGTTTGTTTGTTTGTGTAGGGTGAGTAATGCTGTGTTGTGATACTCTGTAGACATTATTACCTGTCCTTGTTTGTTTGTGTAGGGTGAGTAAAGGTGTGTTGTAATACTGTACACATTATTACCCGTGTTTGTATGTTTGTGTAGGGTGAGTAAAGCTGTGTTGTGATACTCTGTACACATTTTTACCCGTGTTTGTTTGTTTGTGTAGGTTGAGTAAAGCTGTGTTGTAATACTCTGTAGACATATTACCCATGTTTGTTTGTTTGTGTCGGGTGAGTAAAGCTGTGTTGTAATACTGTACCCATTATTACCTGTGTTTGTTTATTTGTGTAGGGTGAGTAAAGCTGTTTTGTAATACTCTGTAGACATTATTACCCGTGTTTGTTTGTTTGTTTGTTTGTTTGTCTATCCGTAACTCCAAGTCTATGAAAACCAAATAAAAACTTAAATAGCACACAACCACTTACAGGAAGTAATTTTGAAAAATTATCAAAACCTCAGTTAAAAAAATGATTGCACACAACTGCTCCACAACTTGCACACTGATTTAATATATGTTTTACCTGTGTATGGCCGCCATTAAGAGACAAGATGCTGTATTTACAGAAAAGAAAGCAACGTTCCATATTAAAATAATATCAGCATTAATCTTAGCAATTAAATGTGTGTCAAAAGTTCTCCCTAGAAAATTAATTTGTCATGTGTAACATCTCGATGAATTCTCACAATATTGAACGTGGTATGAAAAGTATGGCAATATCTTTGATATCCTTAGTTTACAAATGTATATAAAGAAATGTGTCAGTTTTGGACGAACACTGTTGATTTTGATAATTTTTTTCAACATACCATGTCAAGACTTAAACAATTCCTTTAGAAGATGCATAAAAAAGACATAATTACTCAAAATGTTGATATTTTGGATAGATTAAATTTTCCCACACTAATGCCGTATCAGAACGAATGGTTAAGTTCACCAGCAACTCGAGGTTGTCCCTTTTGACACATATACATGTACTACCAAAACAAGTGACATTGTATCATTTTTGTCATCAGAAAATAGCTAGTATGCTTTGTTTTCTATGTGCTTACTAATACCTTGATCTAAATAGAAGAGGTTGTTTTGAATATGTTGGATTAGATAATAAATTATTTTGAGAAATCTATTCATAATAGATCTATATATACATATATTCAAAAACACCTAATTTGATTGATGATCATCCAATTAAAAATCAAATCAGAAAATTAAGATAGTAATATTTTCCTCATTGGAGAAAATGCCATTAAGTGAAAATAGAAAAGTCTGTTAATTTTATGATGACAATTTTGAGGGGTCAAGGGTCAGTAGAACCAATAACAAAGGGGGATAATTTCACCAACAACATCATGGATGCAACATGACAAATGATCTCCAAGATTTTTTAAAAATTTAAAAAAAAATTAGAGACTTGAACATAAAACAAATTTCACCGTTAATATATTTTACAATTCTGGTAAAAATGAAAAAATAATGTCATACATGTATCAGAAAAATCATGATTGATACAAATAAATTGGGGAACCTTCTTTATCCACGAGACAAACAATCATATTTCCCACAGAATTTCACAAATGAGGATTAACAGGAAATAAATTCCAAAATCCTATCTACCCCGATACAATGACCTGTCATGGACAAAGTCAGAGTTGGAGACACTGCTTCCACGTCATGTACACGAAGCATCCAGGACATGGTTGGAGAAGTGAAACGCCCCGTAGCCATTTATTACTGTAAACGATCGTAACTCTAATCATACTGTGCTGTAGTCTCAGGGCAGTTAATGTGTACTCTAACTGCAGTGTAACTGCCCTCTGTGCATCAGGATATACATTTCATCGGCAATAAACAATTAAATTGAAAATCTGTCATGGTTAGCTAAATATCAATTCATAACTTTTACCTTCAAATTCAATGTAGCTTAATGTTTTTTTCTGTGTGTTTCAAAAAGAAAAATATTGACGAATTTTCTATTAGTGCAAACTATTTCATCAATTTATAGAACTAAATGATTTTTATATTTTTCACTAAATTTGGATTATAAACCTTGCTACATACCTTTATGTATACTAGAGATAACAATCAGAAACACAGTAGTGATGGTGTAGATTCTATGTTAAAGAATTGGTATTCTTTGACTTAATTTCATAAGCGAAAACAAATAAAAGTTTTCTTCCAATAACGTTATTTCTTGTTTATATAACTGATCGTTGAAACAATTTCAAACTTAACCTTTGTAAGGTGTATGTTTTAGAAGACCACATTGAGGCTACAGTACAGTGTCCTTAGAACACTAGGATAAACAGTGACAAATACTGGAAATTTTACCTGGCTATCCAAACCAATTGTAAACAACATCAGGAAAAACAGGACCGCCCACAAGGGTGAAATTGGTAACTTAGCAACAGCCTCTGGGTACGCCACAAACGTCAGGCCAGGTCCTGGAAAATAAATATTGACTCAACTTGAAAATTTCATACTTCAAAAAAAGTATTCTTTTATTCCATCCTGTCTATCTAGTCTACTACCAGGCCAAGATCAGGCCTCCCTATATTAATAAACATTACATTTGTCACATCATTAACTGACTCTTGGTAACTAAACTAATACATTTTTAGGGTCAAAAAGGTAAGTGACGTGTGGTTTTTCTCTGGAATTTTTCATTATAAACTTATACTATGATACTAAATTTACTAAATATCAAAACATTGTTCTCTTATTCTTTTCAGATAATACTCTTTCTGTATCAATGTATTTTATTCAAATTAAAGAAAAGACAGACGAAACAAGAAACAGGGACACCTGTCTATAGAGACCTCCCGAACAAACAAGCTAACACACCTGTCTATAGAGACCTCCCAAACGAACAAGCTAACAAACCTGTCTATAGAGACCTCCCGAACGAACAAGCTAACATACATGTCTATAGAGACCTCCCGAACAAACAAGCTAACATACCTGTCTATAGAGACCTCCCGAACGAACAAGCTAACATGTCCTTTGTAGACAGACAGTGGTTTCAGAAACAGGTGGTCTTTATAGAGAGGTGGTTTTACAGCAACTTTACTTGATACATACCTTGAGTAACAACTTTTTCGATGTCCACTCCAGTTTCGTGTGCCATAAATCCTAACACAGAGAAGATAACCAGACCAGCAAACACACTTGTACCACAGTTGATCAGGGGCACAACCATGGCGTCTCTGTTTGATAATTAAATTAAGACAATGGAATTTCATTATTGCTGATCAGAAATGGGAATATCCCTTTAACTTGGCTAATTGGAAACATTCCTTTTAACTGGGGTAATTGGGAAAACCCCTTTCAGCGAGATGATTTGAAACATCCCTTTAACTAGGATAATTATGAACAAGGGGCCCAATGGGCCTGCATCGCTCACCTGGTATAAAACACACACTTGTAACCTTAAAAGTGATCTAAAATAAAGCTGCAGGCAAAATATCAGTATTTATGATTAAAATTCATTCAAAAGACCCTGTTATTTTTTTTTTTAAACATTTCAACCCTGTGATTGAAAGTCAAACAAAGTCATTATGTTGAACACATTGTAAAGCCTTTCATCTCAGGATGCAACTTGCAAAGTATAAACATCCTGGGACCCATGGTTATTCATAAAAGGTTGTTCAAAGATTTTAAACAAATTTGACCCCTGTGACCTTGAATATAAGTCAAAGTCATTCACTTTAACAAACATAGTAGTCATTGATCCCAGCATATGCTACTGACTAAATATCAACATCCTGAGCCTTTTGGTTATTCAGAACAAGTTGTTTAAAGTTTTTAACATATTTGACCCCGTGACCTTGAATATGGGTGAAGGTCATTCATTTGAACAAACTGTGTAGCCCTTCATCTCAGCATGCTACTGGCCAAATATCATTACCCTGTGCATTTTGGTTATTCAGAAGAAGTTGTTGAATGTTTTTCACATATTTGACCCCTGTGACCTTGAATAAAGGTGAAGGTCATTCATTTGAACAATCTTGATAGCCCTTTACCCAAGCATGCTACTGGCCAAATATCATCTCCCTGTGCAGTTTGGTTATTGAGAAGAAGATGTTTAAAGTTTTTAATATATTTGACCCCTGTGACCTTGAAAATGGGTGAAGGTCATTCATTTGAACAAACTTTGTAGCCCTTCATCTCAGCATGCTACTGGCCAAATATCGACACCCTAGGCCTTTCGGTTATTAATAAGAAGTCGTTTAAAGTAAAATATTGACGCCGGACGCCGGGATAATAGGGAACACCCATTTAACAGGGAACATCCTTGTAAAATCAATGTAACTGGGATAATTGGGAACATCTCTTTAACTGGGTGATTGATTGGGAACATCCCTTTCACTAGGATAAATGGGAGAATCTCTAACAGGGAATATTACTTTTAACTAGGATTTGGGAAACCTGTGAACACTCCTTTAACTGGGATAATTCGGAAATTATAATTATAATTGAGATAATTGTGAAAAAAATCTTTTAACCAGGATTTGGGAACAATTCAAAACTGGGATAATTGTGAATACCTCTTTTAATTGGGAACACCCCCTATAACTGGGATACCCCCTATAACTGCGAACAGCCCCTATAACTGGGATACCCCCTATAACTGGGATACCCCCTACAACTGGGATACCCCCTATAACTGGGATAACCCCTATAACTGGGATACCCCCTACAACTGGGATACCCCTACAACTGGGATACCCCCTATAACTGGGATACCCCAGTCTGTTTCCAAGTTATGTGGTCTTAACCATGACCACTTTTAGGAAATTTTACATCTTTCTTCTTTTTCAAAATTTTAAACACTGGTATAAATCACAACACTTTAAACAATCCCTTGCAATTTCAAAACTGTTGTGATTAATGATTTTTCAATAATATGATTCCTTAACAAAGAAATTTAACTTTTGATAGTTTAAAGGGACCCTGTTTTATGATTGGTCATCATTCACACTGTAACTTGAGCGTTTTTTTAAAACCCTCTTATGTGTTCTGTTTGGTTAGCTTTTATAAAGATATAGAGGCCAATTAAAAATTTGGCTCAGCTTTTTTGACATATCAAATACAACTCTGGTCATATTTGAATCCAGATAAATTTCTCCTTTATCGATTTTCTCCATCTATTTCTTTACTTCATTTATACCTCTATTTTTTCAAATCTAAATGCAAGCTAGATCATTTTTAACAGTACGAGTAACACTTGAATTCTTATCTAGCCCATCCTGAAGGTAACAAACACTCGAGATTGAAGGGGGGGGGGGGGGGGGTACCTTGTTTTGTACAATTACAGGCCTTATGAGAGAATGTTTAGATGTTGAACAAAGAGACCACTTGCCCAGCTAGGGGAGGGGATTTCAACAATGCTACTTAAAGTGTCACCAGACTTCCTGTTGTTACCATGCTTACGTAAATGTAACAATGAACATTAACAATGAGAACATATGCTTGATTTAGACTCAATGAGACAATGACGTACAAAGAATTGTAATTCTGAAACCACTGTGTTCTCCGTTGTATATTTCAGTCATGCTGACGTATGATATATGTAATAGGTAGGTATGCGACCTCCTTGGTAAGTTTGTGGGTAAAACTATTGTATGCTGTGATCCTGCAGTCAGAGGGGACTAACATGCCCTTTGAAATTATGTCTTTCTGCTTCCCCCACCCCCATATCTTATCATCCCACCTCTGTTTAGGGAACCTAATATGGACCTCCCACAACAATCATGGCTTTTTATTAAGATAAATTAGAACAGATTATCTTCTCCTTTTCTTTTTTTCTTTTAGAACTTTTTCAATGTCTTGTTTGACACCCCTACCATTAAACTTCTCGATTACTGTATGAACTGCTGTTAAGATTGAATATTAAAAGCAGGTGAAAGGCCTAGTCTGTAATGCCCTACTCGATTGGCTGTTGATTGGCTGTAATACCCTAGCCACACTTATTTAAAATAGGAAATGACAACATATAAAATCTTATATATTTGTAATATCAATTATTACTGAGGGACCTGGTGAGAATATGAATACAAGGCTTTGTATGAAAGTAGTGGTAAAGCCATGCACAACCACCCTAGTTTGAGGCTACAGTTAATTTTACCAACAGGATGCGGTACAGGAAACACATCATCAAATAGGATCACTTTGTCGGGGGCTAGCATATTTCTAATTAAGTTCTGGGAATCGGGCAAAAATAAAATCAATAAATAATTTAAACTTGAAGCCAAATTTGTATATCCTGGAATAAATCAATCAACACTGGGCTGACTTTTATAGTTACCTGTACACGTTGTTGTGGAACTTGTTGTAACTCGCCATGGTGATGAGACCTCCCCACGCCATACCCACGGAGTAAAAGATCTGGACAGCTGCGTCTCCCCAAACCTTTAACATAACAAGAGGCCCATGGGCCTTAACGGTCACCTGAGTCTACAGTATTTATTTTTGTTGTTGAAATATGTACCAATTTGAGTAAAAAATAGTATAATGTTAACTTAACTTTGTCAGGACCATGAGCTGATCATTCCTAGACCAATTTTAAGTGAGATCGGCCTATTAGAACTTAGTAGCAAAATAGCGGCCATGGCAGCCAAATTGTATTTCTGATTGACCCGAAAAATAACAACACTTTGTCAGGACCATG